TTTAAAAACAATTTATTTAACCATCAAACGTATATTATTTTAAACTATCTCTAAAATCGGTTTAAATAGAGTAGATAGCTATTTTAGTTCCAATCATTTTGTTTACAATTAAGTTGATTATTAAGTTGAATCTAGAAGACGAAGGAATTAGTACATATAGAAGATGAATTATCTCAACTATTTAGCCATAGTGGCAACAATAACGATGAATACAATTTTGAAGGTTTCCTAAGTGAAGAAGAGCCAGACGACTACAATAATGAACTAATAGTACATGCAAAAAATATAGCGCCTCTAATGGTAGGTTTAATTATGGATGGCGCTAATCAGGGTTGGAAAAAACCCAGGGTTTTTTTAAAAAAACCAAACCCAAATGGGTTTTTTTGGGTTTTATTGGGTTTTATGTGTTTTTTGGGTTTTTTTAAAAATCGATCAAAATACCAAATTTTTATAATTGTATGAGTATAATAATTTTTTTTTAATTTCATAAATTCACCTCCCTATTGCTCCAATGACCATTTTAGTCAAGGGAGCAACTCATTTTTTAAAAATATTTTGTCTTAATCCTTAACATTATCATTTTTATTAACAAACAACATTAACAACTAAAATTTTTAAACAAAGACGCTGTGTGGAGAAATAGATTGAGACAGTAATTTCAGCAGAGGTAATTTGAACCCTAACCTTCTGGTTGCAAGCCAAATGTTTTGCTACTAGTCTGTTAGCACATTTTACATATAGTGCAAAAAGGGACTCCATCAACTGTAAATGATGTTAATTAATTGCTCTAAATTAAAAACATGTTCAGAATATTTTTGACTAAAAAAAAATCAGTGTAAAAATCATGACAATTGAGTTATTCAAAGTTGGTAAGACAATGTAAATGTTGCAAACTAGTTTTTTTTACTAACATGTTCAACATATCATTTCAAAAACTACTTTGCACAAGTTTACAACATGTAATCAACAAGTTTGCAACATGATGTTGCAACCTTATAAGTTATAATCAATCAGGATGACTATGAACACTTTTTAAACATTTTTGTATCATAGAAGAAAACTGCTAGCCTAAACACTACATTTTTTTTTTTATCAGAACATTATACTGTCCAGCTTCCTGGAAAAGTTATCGGCCTGATCAACTGGACTAGCAAAAAATGGATTTTTGCCTAAACTTTGTTTCTAAATATATATAAAGTAAATTTGTTAAGAACCATTACAGTGTCTTCGCCACCAAGTTTTTTTTTTTCCTTGAAGATGTTTTACCGGCTCAGTTTTGCAATGCAAATTGCAAACTGAATCAAAGTAACACATTATATAGCTCTATTGTGTGTGTTTCTTCACCTTTTAGCAACTTGATACTGATGTTAATTTTCAACCTGCTGTTCATAGTCACCCCTGTTGGTGGTACATGTTGTAAACTTGTAGCTGATGCAAAATATTCAAAACCTGTCAAAAGACAGATGAGCACGAGTGTCATTTTTACCAACAAATCTTGTCCTTGTGAAATGCATACAAGTTTTCAACATGTTCTCTCATTGAATGAGCAAACATGTTGCAAGCTTGCTTGCACATAACTTAATTTTTTTTTAAGTTTTAAAGTTGTATGCACTTAAGGACAAATCTAGTAAACTGTAGCATTTTTTTTTGCCTGACAACTTTCCATTTCTAAACTGTAAATAAAGTATAATAATTTTTATATATAGTATTTTGTTTGTGGCTCAGTAATTTTTTTTGGCAGTTAACAACATAAGCTTTAAAAAATAAAAGATCAAATACCAATATAAAGGAATATAGACGTTCGGGAGGAGAATAAAGATACTAAATAACTAGTAATGTCTTGAAATTTAGTTAATAGAATGATTTTTATTTCCTTTATAAGTATTTAACTAATTTAATGTTTTAATACATATTTCAATAACATTTATAATAACTTGCTAAATGTTTTAAAAAAATAATAAATAACCAACTTGCTACAAAAACATATTGATCGATTTTGGGTAAATTCCAAAGATCATTATGTATATAAATACAGTGTTTACAAGAGTAATTACAGTACAAAGGTTGCACTTGCTGATAATAAAGCATTTATAAGTGTTAAAAGAGATATCAGTTGTAAAATAGGTCATTTTTAAAAAAACCCAAATATATTTTGGGTTTTTTTGGGTTTTTTTAAGGTGGGTTTTTTTGGGTTTTTTTGGGTTGGGTTTTTTTGGGTTGGGTTTTTTTGCCAACCCTGGCGCTAATGTTTTAACTGGACGGACACATAGTGTTCAGCAACAGCTAGTAGGTGCAACAATTTTTTCACTTACATTGTTTGTCGCACCAAATGCAGCTGGCACTAAAAGATGCAGCCAGCACTTCAAAGGAACTCCAAATTCTGCAGCTATTTTGTGAGCAACGCTTCATTTTTCATCGAAATTCTACTGTTATATCAGCGGTTTATTGTAACGCATGCAAAGTTTATGGTGTAAAAGGTATTTTAAGAATTAAGTCTTGT